CTACGGTCACCTTAACTTGTTTTAAACTCTTCCACAGTTACAATACAGATATATATAGGTACAACGCATAACGCTAACAAATTTTGGCCCTTTTGGTTAGCCGTAATCAAAGAAGATGACTCAGTATGTCGTCTTTTACTGGGTGTACAACCACCACCTATGCATTTATTAATAACTCATTCTAAGCTATGGAAATGCTTTCATTTTTTATGTGAATATTAGATTTGGGCAATATGTGTATTTAAGAAAGCAACTCTTGCTTTTTATAATAAAAACCCAGTTACACACTTTCCCTTTAGATATTTTTTACTGGCTGCTGTTTGGGTTGTTATAAGAACACTTTTAGTAAAATGTGTTGCCATTTATTTTCATTTATTGCCAAATAAACATAGGAAATCATTTGGAACAATAAAAACTTGAACCTTCACTAAAAACTAAAGTTTTATTCTCTATACTTTCTACTTGGATATATGGAGGAAATGCATTAAAACCTAACAGAAAGTAAAGCATTGTTAATGCAAGTATATGCAGCTTTCAATGCTTTGTGTTTTAGTATTGGTATTAATATTAGTAAGTCTGTTTTTTTTCTGAGAACGTTATAGCTTTATAGGTTTTAGTTTATAGGCAAATCATTAAAAATGTATCAAACTGTTTATTTTTAACCAGGATTCAATATACTTTAATATCTTTGTTGTAACAGAATACTGTTTGCAGCTGCACCGTCGACACAGTTCATATGGGCATATTAGGTCAAATATGTTTATATAATAGACACTTGTGAGAACTGTTCAGGCTTCTTGGAGAATGTCCTATTTCTCAGGAAAACATTCGGACCACTTCCTGAATGAGGTGCCAGGGGATGGGAGGAAGGGGTTGGTATTGGTAGGGAGGACCCTGTGGGATTCAGCCAAAGAACCCCTTTATAGTTTGTTTTCTCAGATGAAGATCTCACAAATCCCCACACTGTGTTCCAGAAATTCACTGTCGTCTGTTCTTATCAGTATTTAAGATTGAAGTCTTGTTTTCTCAATAGATTACATTTTGTTTTAGCTTGTCTTATTCTGGGCACTCAATGCCAGCAAAGTGGGTATTTATTAGTCCGTATTCTCTGAGTCTTTGCTGAGTGTAGAATAATCGAGTAGGCTGTTTTTATTACGTATTTATTTTAGATTTTGAATCAGACGTTATCAAATTGCCCATATTTTATAAAATGTCCCTTTCAGCTGAGTTTTGTTGAGGTATTATAATGGTTTGTTTTATTGTCAATGTTTATTTTCATCAAGCAACCAAATTGCTGCCAGGCAGACCATTAAATATGGTTGGGGCCACTTCAGGGCTGATATAGCTGTGTGTTGTCAGCCCGCTCAAGGAAAAGTCTATAATTACTCGGTTTTGTTTAAATATAAAGGAGAGACTCAAGAACTTCATCCTTTCTTATTTCAAACCAAGATTTGTATTCATGGTCAGACCAAAATGGAGCTCAACCGACGCATGTTTTTTATTAAAGCTGATTCCTATTTTGTTGCTCAAGTCTCAATTTAAACAAAAAAAGACTAGACTAAAGGCGATAGACAGTCAGTTTAATGGGAGATTGATCTATTGTGTTTCTAAACCAAGAATTTCTTTTACTGTTTAGATGATATGCTGGAGACTAAATCTGGGACTGCAACCCCTCTCCGTTCTGGTTCTGTGGGGAACTACCGCACCACAGTAAAGGGTGACGTAGAGGGAGCAGATGCTCCAGCCACGCCCAGCTCTGTGCAGCCCACCAAGACTGCTGAAGGCTCCTTAGGTTCCTCTCTGACCTCGTCCATCGACTCATCCGGAGGTGCGGACAACACGCCTACCCCAAGACCAGGGAGCCACACCATCGAGTTCTTCGAGATGTGCGCAAACCTTATTAAACTACTTGCACGATAGCTTGCAAAAACAATCATCGCTAGCCTTTTTTCTCTCTGAGTGTCTTTATAGCAATAAGCATGCAACCGATTCATGGCTCACTTCATCCAGACTGAGGATGAAGTGTTTGTTCCATGGCACTGATGCAGGTTGGCGTTCCCTGAGCTGTAAGGGAAGGTATACTGAGCTGACTGGTTTTGTAGGAGTTGAGGAAAGAGGAATTAAATGCTACTTAACTAGCTAGGACAGAACAACATTTCAGAGGGAAAGAGGGGGGGAAATTTCCAGATCAGTCCTCAACAACAGATGCCCACATCCCAAATACAACTATATGCGGAAGTGATTACACTGAACGGTCTGTACTGTATCCTGTAAGACCCAGTTGTCAGTACAGAGAACAAAATCTCGTTTTTTTTTTACCTGCAGAGGAGGAGGCCACGGATCGGTGTTAAGAACTGAGTGGCAGTCATAGGAGGCAGGAGGCACTTTTGCACAACTTTCTTTAATTTTTTCTGCTGCTTGTACTTTTTTTTTTAAGCTCTTCTTAAGGATCAGAGAAGTGTTGCAGGTGTAATGGGGGAACTGCACTATTACAAGCCCATCCCATTCAAACAGACCCCCCTGTAAAGTGCTGTGACCTCTGCCGCTCTGCAGCGTGTCAGGGACAAAAAGGATGCTTTATCAGATTTACTTTGGGTTTTCATGTTTCTGTCAAAGACCTAACTGTTCATGGTTTTGTCCTCATTGTAAATTGTTTGGATTTGTTCTTCCCCTGCATTTTTATATATGAAGATATAAGCATATTTATCAATGCATTACGTTGAGGAAGTTTTGGTTGTAAAAGAATTAGATTTTTTTTTTTTTTGCATTAATTTCTATTGCTGGATATTATATAAGCATATATTCTTTTTTTTTTTTATTACTGTTTTTACGTCTGTCGATTTTGTTGCCCTCAATCACAATTATTCTGATACTTGATTGTCTTTGTATATAACTAGCCTGCTTTTCCAATTTAAGAGGAGTTTTTTATGACACAGAATCTAGAAATATATCCTTTTAAGTGTCATGTAGTAGGTGGACATATTGATTTTGACTTTTATGTTATATTTTCTCTGTTCAGGATAAAGTGTTGGATATGAGTGTGATTACTGAGTGAAATGCCTTTGGCCTACATCCATTTCAAAAAATGCCAACCAGTCAAATATACAGACCTCAAGGCCTCCTTTTAAACCAATCGTAGCATTTGTATCTGATGTGTTGGGAGTTTGTGCATTGGTGAATACAAATGAAAATATTTAGTTTCACATGATTATTTTTTAATTGCTCTCACATTTCTTTGAAAGTTGACATTTTAATTCCAGTCTTGTCTTGAATCTATTTAGTACTGTAAATCATGAGGGACGGAAAATTTCCGGTTAAGATGGACAACTTGAAAGTTTACTATTTGATTATGATCGGGAAGTTAAAATTGCAGACTCAAAAGTCCAAGACATGTCTTAAATTAGAACACATCTCATTCCAGTTCCTGCTCGTCTTAAAGTTATAATCAGTCATTGATTGGCAGCCTTATCCTTATTCTTATTAGTACTGTTCATCAGTTTTATGCTAGAAATTTGATTTCAGTGCTGGTCAGGAATATTGGCAACTTTTGCTAATTTAAAGGTTGATTTTTCACATCTTTTGGTGTTATATCAACAGAACACACTTAAATCTGGTTTTGAAGAACTAAACACCAAGAAAAGACCTTCCATGGTTTTTATTTTTTATAAAAACTCCCCAACCTAAGCTTGAGATATTGGAGTTTAGCTTTATACAACGTAAAAGCATCTCGATTAAATGTAAAACCTGTTTAGATTTCAAATGATGAATAAAACTGCAGAGTTTGACCATTTTGATCACGTTCTCTCATGATAAAAAGAATGTTTTCACCCAAAACATGCAGTTATTTGACCTTGAGGTCTCTGTTTTTAAGTTGATTTAAAAAAGAAAAAAAAGGGTAAAGACTCAAACTTGATGGTGTTGTAGACATGGTGTAAAATATTCATTCTTAAAGGGTTTCTTGCAAGTCTAGATAACCAAAACTTGTCATGCCTTACATGATGGGTTTTGCTTGAGAGTTGAATGTTTGCAAAAAAATGTTAACTCCTTGAGAGATTATGGAAAGTGTCATAGAAGGCTGTTCAAGTCAGTGGCTGGTTGAACCTCTTCAAAATGTTGCTCTTTTTTTGTTTGGTGTGAAGGGGGACCCCACCAGATGGAGCATTGTAAATCTGAATGGAAAGTGGTGAATCATTTGTACACGCAACTGGCTAATAAACTGCTAATAAATTAAAGACTTTTGTTTTGAAGTTTTCTTATTTAGCCTGTCTAAATATGTTTTATGAAAATTCACTCTCTTTTGGCCAAGTGAATGTAGAACAAATCGGGATTATGTTTATAATAAGGCTCTACAAAATATTTTTATGTTTTTATATATCAAAGTTTGTAGACATTATAGCTATTCAAGGTTTTAGGAGAATAAATTAGTTATAAAAAATATTGGTTTTAGGTCTATCCAAAAATATATATGAGGAAAAACATATAGATTTTAAATTAATCTAGAATTAAGAAAATAGTACAACCAAAAATACTAAGTTCAATCATTTAATTCAATGCTGTTATTGTACTGCTGATTTGGCCTTTATATTTAAAAGCTGGTTTTATTTTGAAATATGATGTAATCAGCTTCCGGGTGATGCTCCCTTTAAGTGTTTTTGATTAATCGGGGGAACTTGTAAAAGAGCCCTTGGAGCTCATTATTTTTATAAAAAAAAACAAAAAAAAAAACGATATTTCTCTCGATAGTCTACCTTTATTCTTAAATCAGTTCATGGGGATTTATTCTACTCTACCTATTCTTAGCAAACAACATTTTGGAATAACGTTAAACCGTTTAAGTTTAGACAAATGGCAGGACACTTGTGGGTTTATGGTTTAGATGATGTTTATTTGTAATTACTGTTTTTTTTTTTTTTTTTTTAGATCACAGGGCTGCATTTGTAACTGTTGGCTATACTCAGAATATATTTAGCCTTTAAAACTTTAGTTCAGACGTAGAAATGTTTCCAAAATCCTGGTTGTACAGTGTACATTGAACGCACCTTTAAAGGTTGAAAACAATGGCGGACGACTAGATTTAGCGTATTCTTGCATATGGTAAAGCTGTAAATGTATGTGTATTTACAGTCTCTCTCTAATTATCTGGTTATATTTGTAATAATGTTTTAAAGTCCAGTAAAAATAAAGTGGAATATGTTAAGCAAACTTTATTGTGTCGGAAACGTAACACAGGTGCTGATGCTAACTCTAGCTAGCAACGTTCCACCTTTTAACGTTTTAGAGCTATAAAGCAATCATTCATATGTAATATCTGTTTAGATAAGTTCTGTTTATAAGGGACAGTATCCTTCCTTGGTGTCATACCGTAGTAGGTTTGTTTAACCAGTGTTTCACAATAAAAGCCCGGTGTTTTTCTTGCAGAATGGCCTCATTTGGCTGGAAGAGGAAGATTGGGGAGAGGGTTTCAAAGTCAGTGGTTGAGCAGTTTGAGGCCGAAGAGGAGAGAAGTGAAAATAACAGTGAGGTCGATCGGGATGAGGAGGTGGACTGGCTGCACGCCATCAAACGGAAGAAGGAGATCCTGCTGGAGGACTGTGCTGCGAAGAGCAGGAGGCTGAAAGAGGAAGGGACCAGGCTGGCTGAGGAGGGCAGGTGAGGCAACCTGTCAATGTTTTTAAAGCATCACACAGGGATATTGATAGTAAGGAGAAAATTAAACACAAGACCCAAAAATCAGACAAAATTTAGTTTAAATACAATAAAAAAAGTTAAAATAAAAAGCTATTAGAGCCATAACAGTTTACTGTTCCTTTTTGATGAAGAAACAGGGATAATCTCCTAATCCCTTCATATCCTGTTGAAATCGACTTATCAATTGTATTTAAAATCTCTCTTACATCTTTTAGGGTTGTAGCGGCTTACAGATGTTTACCCCAACTAAGAGTTTAAAAGATCCTTTTATTCACTACCAATAAAAACAGGTGCATGCAAATATGGCATTAGTAGGCAAAAGTGACAAAAGTACAAACAGGGAAAATGCCAAAAGTATAACAAAGTGTGATAGGGGTGCAGATCTGTTAGATGTTTAATCCATATGGATGACATCTTTAGAGTACGGTACTATTTATTTTATTACAGTTTATTCTGGTAAGGTTGTCCAGGCGGATTTAGATTTCCAGTTTTTATTTAGGTCTACTAAATTTTGTAAACCATAAAGGTGATGTTTGGTAGAGGAATATGGAATTTGAAGATGGAGTGAATTAAGTGGAATTAAAGGTTATTTTTTAATTTTCTATAGAATTGTTTCTCAGTGCAACAACTTCTTACCAAAACCAAAACATTCTCTCTGAGAAAGCTCTCTATTTGAAAGTGAGGTAAGCTGTGGTATCATTAAATTCTGGGTAAGCAAAAACAAATTAAACTGTGCTTTGTGTGATTTATTAAAGTTTGATTTAGACCACACGTTCCTCTCAAAGCAGTCTTTTTTAATTAAAAATTAATGCAAATTAGAACATATGTGTTACAATAGAAAATAATATAAATGTAATTTAGGATTAAGAAAAAGGTTTAAAAATAATGATGCTTGGTCTTCTTGAGCATTAGAGATTATGGGGTATGTTTAGTCCACAGAATTATTCAGCAAATAAAGGGATTGGATAGTGTCCCTGCAGGATACTAAAGAAGAAGCTGATTGTAAGAACTAAAAAACAAATCTGATAGGGACACATTGCAGTTATGAAATCCTAAAAATAAAGAATATTTGCAATATTCATTTTTATTCCAGCTTTTTCTGAGGAATGTTAAAGCTTTTTTACTTTAATATCTCTGAAGATTGAAAAGAAAACTGATCAACACATTTTTTTTATGTCTAAAAGCCAAATATTTTGCACAACAAAATCTAAAAAAAATGTCCTGTATGTATTACATGTGTTTTTAAAAGATGTAGTAATGAATACACATTTCCCAATGATTCTCCATAATGATTTAACAGGCTCAAAAGTTGCTTGGCATTGCTACCACCAGTTGTCCAGAAGAGGGCAGCATTGCATACAGCTTACATTTCAACTGTCTCACAAAAAAACAAAACTTAAAATGCAAAAAAGCTAAAAATTTGTGTTTGAACAACTAAAGCATTTGTTTTTTCAGTTTTCTAGTGAATAAATGTTGCAATTAAAATTTATGCAAATAATTCTTCATTTTTTTTTTTTATAACTTTGAATAACAAATGTAGAAGTCTCTTGATTGTCGGTGTGATTTTAACATGTTGTACCTGTTGACCTTTTCAATCAAAGCACATAGACAAACCCTGTTTGTGTAGAGGACGTGATGTTGTGGCCTTTAGCTACTGCCTGTAATCCTGTTTTCCTGGAGAAAGTGGATTTTGCTTGGAAATGATGCCATGGTCGTGCCGCGTAATGGGTGCTTAGAGATTTGAGGTGGTGTCTGGTCATGGAGATTGGTGAAGGGGCGTTTTGTCTCTAACAATATTGACCTTTGATTTGAGTTTCTTATTACAGGCGTTTGGATGCTTCAGATGTAACCGACGAGCTCCTCCGTTCTGCCTTTGATCATAGCCTGTTCATTGGTGAAGGTGTGATTCTACCCATGGATGTCTTTACTGCCAACACATTGTCAATATTTTACTAGATTAAATATGACTGTTTTATAACATCTGTTTTTTTTTTATTTGTTGGGCATCGTAAACTTTTAACATAATGCTGTGGAAACCCCCCCCCCCCCCCCCCCCCCCCCCCTCACATTTATAACTTAATATGCTGCCATATATTATTAACATATGATTCACAGCCTTCCTCAATATATTTTTACTGTTTACTCATTTCTTTGACTTACACTTGTCCACCTGTGGGATTTTCTTTCTCGAGATAAAATGGTTTAATTGGTCATTTCTAACATCCTCTGGTTTTGTAAGTTGTTGACATTGTTTTTAAGTTTGAAAAAGTAATTTATTATGATATATATTATTGAATAAATAGATGGGAAGATGTTCTTAATTCAAAAGTCTCGCTTCTGTTTTAAAGACACAACTAAACAAAAATGTTTAAATCATGAATTCGGATTGAGATTCAGAATCTTATCTGATGGTGATTTTTTTTTTTTTTTGTTAAAGCCAAATTTCCTTAATAAGAATGATTTTTTGCTGTATTTACCCCAACATATTCCCAAGCAGCCATATTCTTTTTTTCTACGAGTGTTTGAGAACTTAGCCCCCTTTCTTTTTTTCCAGGCGAGCAACAATGTAAAGCCAAAGGTGAAGAACGCTATTCTGTTCACCGTACTGTGGAATAAATAAAACTGACGCTTTCTTTATGATTCTGTTAAACTGACTTAAATGTTTTCCCCCTCCCCAGGGCTTTGATACCTGTTACCTTGCCCGACTTACATCGTGTGAGAAGCGCTTCTCTTTTCTCAGATTGTTGTATCGAATGGTCCCAACTTTCCATTCCTCTGCTGTTCTCAGCATTTAGACAAACTGCTAAGCTCCTGTTTATCTGTTATCTTAAATTTCACATGTTTTTGTTTACATTGTTAAGAAAAATAGAAGTTATTGCTCTCTTTGCAGTCCTGTTTCTCTAACCCGTCTTTAACCGATAGACAGAGATAGAAAGATTCATCATAGAAGGCTTGTTTGGCTCCTTGGCTCATGTGTCTGATTGCCTAATTTTCTACTTTGCCTCATGCAGTTGAAAGATTTCCACACTTCCTCAGTTCCTTCTTTTCTCAGTTAGCTCTTCTGATAATAACACGACTGGTATATTTCATGATTCATGATTTAAGTCACCCAATCATGATTAACTGCCTCGTTTTGTGGCCTTAATTGCTTTTGAATTTTTAAGGTTCTCCATCTAATGTAATCTGTAAAAGCTGCTGACATGAAATTAGGAAGGTCGAACTTATGACTCCACCTCAGCCTTTGTTCACGGGTTGGGAAACTTGTTTTGAGTCAATATTGACCATGAGGTGACGGTTTTCATAGATTCATGTCAATTTAGCACGTTCAAAGAGTAAATATGTGCTAGAAGAGCAAATGTATGCAAAGCAGTGGTTATAGCTGCTCAGATTGAGAGGAGTTTATGTACCCTATAAACAAATTCATGTAAATCCTCTTTATTTATTTTCTGAGTAGCTCAAATTGAAACCGGTAGTTAACATTAACACCTTGCAGGCTCTGATTTCCAGCCTGTGTTTAACAGCAGGGAGCTTTCTGTTTATTTAAGTCTCTTATGCTGCCAGACCGTTGGACAGGTGCTGTGGAGGAAGCCTGTTGGGTTTTTTTTTTATTCAAAAGGTCCACACAGCAAATTGTTCTGGGAATTGTTTGACTTTTTTAGATCTACCTATGGTCAAGCAGTGAGTTCTTGGAAATCTTGAAGGAGATATAAATGAGGCACAGAATATATATATAAAAAAAAGATCTGCTAAACTGAAACATGACTCAGACAAGTTTAACAAATATCTGTTTGCAGAAATAATCAGGAAAAATCACGTCCTTAAATCCACAAAGCAAACCCTGTTTTAGTTAAATAACTTGTGTAACATCTGTCAGCAATGACTGTATAACTTTACAAAACAAAGTTATGAAAACATAATTTCAGCACCCTGCTGGTGTAGAACAGTCATACTGTAGTTATGAGTAGTCATAACCATGTGTCTGTTTTTTTTAGGCACTGGGAGGCCATAAAGAAGTGGGATGAGGCTATTCAGCTGACTCCAGACAACTCACTGCTGTACGAAATGAAATCTCAGGTATAAAGTTTCTAACTCATTGATTTCTCTGTGATTGCCTTGCAAATTTCTTGTCTATTTTAGATTCTGCCACATCCCAGTAATGATATATGATCGAAATACACAATGAAGATTTAACTACCTTAGTTATTACTTTTTAACCAGCTTTATGTGTTTACCTTTTAATATTCTCCAAGCTTAAGCTGTCAGATCGGTAGGAAAGGCTCTATAAAAAGTTATTGTCCTGCTAGAAGGAGAACCTTTGGCCTCATCCAAAATGTTTTGCACTTTTTAGAAGGTTTTTTTCAGGATTACTAGTTTCTTTCTCTGCTGAAGAACAGTTTCTCACAGCATGATGCTGCCTTCACCATGTGTAACAGTGGAGATGGGGCCTTGAATGCAGATCAGAAAGTTTGCTTCTTATTAAAGGTTCCCTGTCCCTGGGGTGCCACTGAAAGCAGATCATGTAATGTTTTTATCGTCACACAGTAGTAGTATATGAATGTAGGCCTTAAATAGAGCAATAAAGTGGTTATTTGGGCAATAGAACCCGTGTCATGCATGGTTGCTCTTTATCTGGTCACACTACCTTTCAGACCGAGCCTTTTTTCTTTCTGGTGTTCTCTTTATAAAACGGTGAGTCATGCAGTATAAAATGGTGTTTTTCCACCTCCAAAATAAACACTTCATTCTCCAAGGTGTCGTATGAAATCAGATTCTCCTGTGGTTCTGTACTCAAGCTGCAGGTCATGTTGTTTTGATGTTTCAAAGTAAAATTTGATCCACAGTCAGACATGTACGGTTTCACTGGAACTCCACTGGATCCACTTTGCTTCTTAGCAACTGACTTCCTCTCTGAACGATCAGCTGTACTCCATATTGATGAGGACTCCAAGCGTTAATACATAGACCTGCAGCTTATTTTAGATCTTCTGGGGCACTTCAAGGATGCTCCGTGGTTTCCCTGGGTTGAACCACGCTGATTGACTGAAGTGGTTGCGATCAACCGCGGTGGGGATACTCTGCGGACGATCCACAGCATTAACGTTTTCGATAAATCCCTGAAGTTAGTTTGGGTGTTAAGTCATGGACACGTTTGTCACATTGCATCTTAATTAGGGTGCTGTTTTAGGTCTGAGTACATACTGTATGAACATCAGCCTATTTTAGATTTATATACCGGGTATATATTTTTTAGTTATAATGTTTTTGTCCATTACTTAAAATCCAAATCAGGAGGTATTAGTACTATTGTTCTCATATAATTTGTAAATTAAAAACCTGAAACTTCCCCAAACCTGCATGGAAAAGCTTTAAGAAATGTGTTTTTCTTTGCCATCACCTCATGAAGCTGAGGATTAAAGCTGGTTTCTAACAGCCACTCTCCCGGACGCCTCAGTCTTGAATCTATTTCTCCTTCTTATTTCAGTTGCGTGATTAAAAAAGCCAGCATGTCTCTACTCAGCAGAACAGTACTGATGTTCAAGGGTGGAGTCTGGCAAAACTGAGCTCTTCCCGTTATTTATCCATTTACTATAACTAATACAATATAAGCTAACACAATAAACCCTCTCATGGTAACCATCGTCCTTCTCATCACATTGAGTATTCCATGCCTAATATGATATTGTCCATTACAGGAAATTTGAGAAGGAAATCATTAGAGGAGCAGGTCTGGAAAAAACTCTTCCCCAAACAGTTTTCGTGTTTCGATTTTTTTTTTTTTTTTCATCTCATGCCACGAAGACTTTACACACAAACCGTACTCAGATTACTTAGTCTATTACAGGGTTCTTATGTATATGGAGCACAGCTCCTCTTACTCTTCTTGATCATTTTGCATCCATGAAAGGAAAAAAAAAAAAGAGACGACACACTTTAGATCCACATCATTGCTCAGAAGACATGTGCTGATGATGCTAATGCTTTTCTTCCTTTCAATGCTCTGTGCCACCTTAATTTGATAATTATTTAGCCCAGCACATCCGACTTCCTGGGTGTCCAAAGCTGGCATCATCTGTACAAATTTCTCCTCCTTGCAAATGTATCCATCATAAAAGGGACCCTACTTTTTGTTAGTAGTAATTTAAGATATTCTAATTTTGGTGTATTATAACTGGTTTTACTTTGATTTCATAGTAAGCGTAAGTAACACTGATGCAGTAATGGTTGAAAACCATTATATTAGGGTTTAAGTTTTCAATAGGTAATAAAAATATTCTCCGCTGCAATAAAAAAGGAAAAATTAAATGCTACTTTATCTTTACTAAATCATACTAATTTAACACTCAATGTAAAGTTTTATTTCTTCTATAGAATTCTGGACGGGAAAAGCAGCCTTTATGTTTCTAATCAAATACAGTTTCTTAAAGGTATAGTGGAGGATTTTTTTTTTTAAAATGCACATGCACAACCCTGTACCCGCTCCCGAAATGCAATCTCTATTATACGCGGGCGAGAGCATGCAGCAACCTATTTTCTCCTCATGCTTTCTCTGTTTAAAAGTTGCTGTTTGAATCGCTCATACAAGCTTACTTTCCAAAGAAGATTTGTAATTTTTCCCACTATGTCAGACTCTCCACCGGTAAGTGAAAATGGGTTTTGAGCATCTAAGACAGCCTTACTTAAACATATCACCAGAATGATTGACAATTAGGAGGACCACTTATTTTGATGGTCCAACTGGAAAAAGAACATCCTCCACTACACCTTTAATTGATCATCAGCAAATGGAAGCACCTCCATAAAGGGAGGTTTAAACCACATCATAAATGACCAGAGGGAATCCACTGTTCCTCTCAAACAAAATTAGAGAGTTTTCTTAAGGCCACACAATGCCAATTTTCCTAGAAGTTGACATCTCTGTGAATTTCACTTTGGGTCAGAGAAACCATTTCTCAGAGAAACTGTTATAAACCCAAGACCTCCAACGCAGCATCTACAGCTCTCAGTTAGCATGTTAGATCTGAAAAAACTTGACGGGAGAATAGAAAACATCCCTAAAAGACAGAACCCTGTCAGGAAAAAAAAAGCCTCCTCATGATTTCAGTCCACAAAGTTGCACTTAACATTGGTGGCCATGAAGAGCTTTGAAAAGCTGGTACTTGAGCACATTAGCCTTAAAGTTCCTGCAAGGGTTGGGCATGGCTTGAATCTGAATGGTTTTGAATTTTCATTACTTAGTGTTCTTAGGAAGAAGGTTTATAAAGGTCCAAATATTTCAAATGAGCTGGCTAATCAAAGTTCTTTTATATGATTTATATGTTAATTTTATAACAGTTTTACCTTTTTATAAACTTAACTATTAATTTCTGGAAGGTTTATTTTCAACCACTAGAGTTGAACTTGAAAGTTTAGAAAACCTCACATTAAAGAAGATGGTAAATTCACACTAATAACTGAAATATCACAGAACTTAAAAAAGTTATAATAAATAAAAATTAATTTTTTGAGAGATAAATGTTAAATTATCTCTTCAATAGCTTAAGCTTGTTCAAAAATTGCCCATGCAGCAGGTCAATGAACCCTTTAACAATGAAAAATCTACAGAACGACAAAAAAAAAAAGAAAGAAATAAGTTGCTAGTCAAAGTCCAGACTTTAGTATGATTGAGATACTGTGTTGGGATGTTAAGAAGACTGCATGAACTCAGTGAACTGGAAATGTGTTGCAAAGAAGAGGGGCTCCCAGTCCCTCCGGGGTGATGCAAGACACTGATAAAAGTTTTGCAGACTGCTTTAGGATCGTTGCTACTAAAGGTCGTTTCACAAGCCGTTAAATCAGGTGCTGTACTTATATTTTCAAACACAGCCTTTGCATTTTAGCTTTATCTTTGTTTGATTTATTATAAATGAGTGAAATCTGTTTTATGCTTTTGTACACCTGAGAGCAAAATGTTTTAGATTCTGGGAAGAGCTGTAGGGATAAAATATCACAGATGAAAAAGTAGCAGGTAAGCTCATACCAAAGTGTGTTTAATAGATTTAAGAGGGGAATGAGTTCACTTCAACCAGGATACATGTGAGGTCGGGTCACAGAGATTTAAGGGAAAACTGAAGCTGCTGCTTTCCACAGTGCTCCTTAAGTTCATGTGTAAAATTATAAACCTTAAAGAGAATGAATAATTAACACTTTTACAAATATCTACTGCTAATACCTTCAAGTTTACTGGGGAAAAAAAGCTATTTAAATTGTATTGGACCCTTTCTAATCTAACAGAACACATTTAGGGAAGTAAATACTAACCAACTTTATTGCACTTAAAACTTTCAATATTGTATGTGTTACATTTTATAGTAGGTGTGTAAAATAGACAGCTAAAATCATTTAAAGGAACTGATCTAAAAGACGATACACAAATTTCAATTCTTAGAAAATGACATTTTTATTCTATTTTGGCAAAATGTAGAAGTAATTGTATACACACACATATATATATATATATATATATATATATATATATATATATATATATATATATATATATATATATATATATATATATATATATAAACAAGGGGTAAATATTCGGATTTTATGTTTATTAGTTAATCAGTTTTAGATATCTAACAACTCAAATAAATCCTGTTTACCACAGGATTTGTATTTGTTTCTTTTAAGGATGAACAAATTCCGCAGTTTGATTGTAACATATGATGCATACTCTAAGCTGAAACACACATTTTAAATAAAAAACTTTACTATGTTTAATAACTGGTTGGTCTTAATCGGTGGCTGACAGCAAAGACATTTCAAACCATATGCGGTCAGTGAATGCAGTCTACTTAGCGCTACCAGGTCACACTGATAACACACTTTCAAGTAGATAATGTTTCTGAGGAAGCTATTTTCGGTAACAGTTGATTGGTCAGAATGCACTCAATGGAAGCACATGGATTAAGGAATACAGTGAAAACACTTTTCTTTATGTAGAGACATTTGTTTGTGTCTGCGGCTGTGAGTGAGAGAAGAAAAGAGAATGGCATCATTTTAATCTATCATTGTTTTATCTCATAACGGCTATATTTGACCTGTTTGACAATTCATCCTCTGTAATGAGACATTGCCGATTTGGAAATGTTGGCAGCCTTTATAAAAACCGCCGCCAATCCACAGACTGTCTTACAAGGTTATCAGTAGCCTATTTTAGCATATCAGTATTTTATGCTGTGATGAAGGCCGTCTCTCTATCAACCTGTATAATGCAGCCGAAAATTCCCAGAGGCATACAGGGCATATGTTTTTAATATACAGGTAAAAGCCAGTAAATTAGAATATTTTGAAAAACTTGATTTATTTCAGTAATTGCATTCAAAATGTGTAACTTGTACATTATATTTATTCATTGCACACAGACTGATGCATTCAAATGTTTATTTCATTTAATTTTGATGATTTGAAGTGGCAACAAATAAAAATCCAAAATTCCATGTGTCACAAAAATTAGAATATTGTGTAAGGGTTAAATTTTGAAAACACCTGGTGCCACAAACTAATCAGCTGATTAACTCAAAACACCTGCAAGGGCTTTAAATGGTCTCTCAGTCCAGTTCTGAAGCCTACACAAACATGGGGAAGACCTCAGATTTGACAGCTGTCCAAAAGGCGACCATCGATACATTGCACAAGGAGGGAAAGACACAAAAGGTTATTGCTGAAGAGGCTGGCTGTTCTCAGAGCTCTGTGTCCAAACACATTAATAGAGAGGCAAAGGGAAGGAAAAACTGTGGTCAGAAAAAGTGTACAAGCAATAGGGATCACCGCTCTCTAGTCAAGATTGTGAAAAAAAAAACCATTCAAAAATGTGGGGGAGATTGACAAGGAGTGGACAGCTGCTGGAGTCAGTGCTTCAAGATCCACCACCAAGAGACGCTTGAAAGACATGGGTTTCAATTGCCGCATACCTCGTGTCAAGCCACTGTTGACCAAGAAACAGCGCGAAAAGCGTCTCACCTGGGCTAAGGAAAAAAAGAGCTGGACTGCTGCTGAGTGGTCCAAAGTCATGTTTTCTGACCAAAGCAAATTTTGCATTTCCTTTGGAAATGGAGGTCCCAGAGTCTGGAGGAAGACAGGAGAGGCACAGGTTCCACGTTGCCTGAAGTCTAGTGTAAAGTTTCCACCATCAGTGATGGTTTGGGGTGCCATGTCATCTGCTGGTGTCGGTCCACTCTGTTTCCTGAGATCCAGGGTCAACGCAGCCGTCTACCAGCAAGTTTTAGAGCACTTCATGCTTCCTGCTGTTGACCTGCTCTATGGAGATGGAGATTTCAGGTTCCAACAGGACTTGGCGCCTGCACACAGCGCAAAATCTACCTGTGCCTGGTTTATGGACCATGGTATTTCTGTTCTAAATTGGCCAGCCAACTCCCCTGACCTTAGCCCCATAGAAAATCTGTGGGGTATTGTGAAAAGGAAGATGCAGAATGCCAGACCCAAAAACGCAGAAGAGTTGAAGGCCACTATCAGAGCAACCTGGGCTCTCATAACACCTGAGCAGTGCCAGAAACTCATCGACTCCATGCCACGCCACATAAATGCAGTAATTGAGGCAAAAGGAGCTCCAACCGAGTATTGAGAATTGTACATGCTCATATTTTTCATTTTCATACTTTTCAGTTGGCCAACATTTCTAAAAATCCCTTTTTTGTATTAGCCTTAAGTAATATTCTAATTTTGTGACACACGGAATTTTGGATTTTCATTTGTTGCCACTTCAAATCATCAAAATTAAATGAAATAAACATTTGAATGCATCAGTCTGTGTGCAATGAATAAATATAATGTACAAGTTACACCTTTTAAATGCAATTACCGAAATATATCAAGTTTTTTGAAATATTCTAATTTACTGGCTTTTACCTGTAATAATATACTAAGTTAAACAAAATGCAACCCAAATAATCTAATATATAAACATTACATGCATTTCTTTATTATTAGTAGGCCCCCAACCACCATTGGCCAAGTGTTTTAGTCCATATACTTAATCTAATAGGTGCGACTGCTGGCAGCTCTGTGAATCAGTTAGCAACAAGCTCACTTAATGAGAAAACCAGAGCGTTATGAAGTGGAGGAAACTGGGCCAATGTGTCAGTAAGTCATTTATTCCACCATTTGCTCAATGAGTAATAAGCCATAACACCAAAGGAGCATTCTAGCCAAGCAAATAGCCCAGCTTATGATGGTTTACAAGCGCTAACGAGTTTGTAGTACAGAAGGACTGACACGGAGGGGGACAGGGGCGAGCAAGGAGGGAAAAGAGAGGAAGGGATGAGAAAAAAGTCAGATCTCTTATAGGACTTGATGAGGAAAAAAGAGAAGAGGGAAAAATAAAAATGTCTGTCAGGATTTTTATGTCAAATATAATCCTAAATATCAATTTACTGACATTTTAGATGTGTATCTATGGAGTTTCTTAAGTCCAATGACCCTAAAGAAGCAAATTTTTCCTTTGTAAATTCTGTCATGAGGGTCATTGCAACCTAACCTTGCACTGCAGGCTGGATTGTTGTGAGATCTGAATTTTCAGTCTCACAACAAATCCATCTAGAAAGACTCCTGCTAATGCGTCCATCTCGTAACCACCAACTTTTAACGTTGCACTCAACTCAACTCAGTTCTACACATATCAATCTGGCTACTTCCAGGTTAATTGCCAGGATACAGGCTTAAATCGGAAGAAAACCAGACTTTAGTTTTCCTGTAGCTGTTTCCACTCCCATCCGGAAGTCTTTGCCAATTCTGTCAGCTTGCAGCACAGAAATCCTTCCTATTTAAGCCGATTTTCAAGAACCACATTTGTTTTTGTTTTTTCTGTGTAAGGAATGGGTCCTTACTGTTTTGTTTTTTTTTCTAAGGTGGCTTACAGACTGAACTTGAGTTTGTCTCAGCTAGACAAATGACATACAGTAGATATTTTAATAAACAGGTAGCTAAAACATTTTATTTTATTTGTAGGCCTACAGTTATAATCTATAAATTAAAAAGTAAGTGCTATGCACTTAGCCATATTTTCAGGTGTAGCTGTGATGTCTTTTACATCTTTTGTTAACACTTAAGTAAGTATTTATATATTTGAGGAGTAGTTTTATGTTTAACTATTCTTGAAAACATTTATTTTATAGTTTTTCTTTTATTTACTTCAAAAAAATCTATTTCTTTTTATGCTGCTATGGTAAACTATGGTGGAAATTAGTGCAGGCTGTCGATAAATTTGGTTATTTTTTATAATAAAAGGGCCACCTGGTATGATATTTAACACTGCTAGGTGAACACAGAACACATGTATACTAGAATTGCCAACTTCAGTATAATTTATTCTGCCTTTGTGATGTACTCTCTACTGGGAAAATAGACAGAAACACTTAAATAAAAGCCAAATAACAGTATTCCTTCAAAAATGAAGATATTAATAGTTTAGCTCTATCCATCATCTTTATCAGGAGGTTAAAAGCACCATGATGTATTGTCTATGATATGGCATCCACTGAAGCCTGGTTTAAGCCTGGTACCATGTATGCTTCCTGCAGGTGCTGACCATTCTGCATGAAGTGTTTCCAGCAGTGAAAGCGGCAGAGCTGGCTGTGAAGTTCAAGCCATTGTTCTGGGAGGGCTGGCAGACTTTGGGCCGAGCGCAGCTCAACCTGGGAGAGGTAGACTTGGTGAGTAAGGTGGTGTTTCTAAGAGCATAAAAGGTTTGGTCACTGACTGCAAATGCTAAACAAGTACACTACATATTTGTTAAGACAGTTTTCTGTACAAAGACTTTGGAAACGAGGCCTTTTAGGGAACAAGCAGCTTGGATGAAGCACTTCTCTGTCACCGTTTCAGGTCATTATCTATCTGTATGGCGGAAGCAGCACATTAAAAGCCACGGTGTAAATAGATGAGAAATAGCTTTAAAAAATTTGTAACTAATTCAGTTGTAACTAAATTGCTTCCAGGCTTACTGGGAGTGTTTTTATTTTGTCATAATCATCTTGCATATCCTCAAAAATCCTGTTGTAAGTCAAACATGTAGGTTGTTTTTTGAGTCTCAGCTTGGAGAACATTTCCTTATTCTAGCAAACAATAACAATTACATTTTATGGCTTTAGGCTTTAACCTTTATACCAAAACCAGTTTAGAGGAGAGGAGAGGAGAGGAGAGGAGAGGAGAGGAGAGGAGAGGAGAGGAGAGGAGAGGAGAGGAGAGGAGAGGAGAGGAGAGGAGAGGAGAGGAGAGGAGAGGAGAGGAGAGGAGAGGAGAGGAGAGGAGAGGAGAGGAGAGGAGAGGAGAGGAGAGGAGAGGAGAATTTGGAGAATTTGGAGAATTTGGAGAATTTGGAGAATTTGGAGAATTTTGATTTTGTAGGGATCAGGAATGATTTTAAACCTAATAGCTGCCTGCATGGAAGATCTCTGATAGTGCTCCTATAGTTGACCAAGGGTGCAGCAGTCATATATTAAAGGCGTTCTCTAACTATTCAGCAGTTTCATGTATAAGATGGGAGACATTTCCCACCCTAGCTGTTATTTCCCAGGTCACAGGAGGAATTACGAGCAGTTCAAGATTATGCATCTTTTTTTCTGTCCATGATGATGCTTAATGGAATCACTGTATCAGTTAACCTTCCATCTGTCCATCTATCCATCCATTTGCTTAGTTTGTAGGTCGATTTTTGTGTTTATAAATGTAAATGTCTTTATTTTAAATTCACTTTCTGCATTTAACCCATCCCCTTGTGGAGCAGTGGGCTGCCATCGTGTGGCGCTGGGGGAGCAGTGTGGGGTTAAGGGTTTTGCTCAGGAATCCAGAGATGAGGCTGTGAGGATCGAACCGGCTACTTGCAACCTTCTTGGAGCACAAGCACACTGCTCTAAACACTCGGGCAACACTCCCCACAGGTTTTAAAAATTGGATTAGGAACTTAAACGTAAGAAAAAAAGGAACTAGCCTATACGGCACTTCAAAAATGACTGTATTTACTAGTTTGTTTATTTTTGAAGCTTCCAGCCTTCAGGCTTATGCTCCTCATATGAAGCACACCCAGGTGCCTGTGGCTGAGATGATTGACTAAATTGCCCCATAACACGCCAGGACTTGTGTGATTGAAACCTGTGGATCAGTTACTTTGTTGGCTCTCTGAAAGCTAAGCATTCTGGGTTTAAGGTAGAATCCCTTCCAGTTGATCTCGCTCATGCATGCCTTAAAGCTGGAGACCTGTCCAACAGCACCAAAAACAACAATGGGAAGTGTTGAAAGTTACCTAAGCACAAAGTAAACTAAATATAGACACGCCTTCTTGTATAATGAAGCCCTTAGCAATGACAAAACAAATCCTATTTTTAGTGCAACTTGTTCTATCCCGTTTTAAAGTGTGTGTACCAACATGTTCAGGTTGTGCCTGTTTGGAAATTCGGTTGATCCTCATTTTTGCTTTAATCCAACTGTTCTGTTTTATTTTTATTTATTTTTTATTTCAAGTAAATTTATTTCACGGTTATAGAAACAGTGCAGAAAAAATATCAAAACAAAGCTTGTAATGCTATTTTGCCCCTAATTCACCAGGGTATTACAAAATTTACAATTTCTGGTATGAATTGGCTTGCACAGATTTTTTTAAAGGGCAATGGCGGAAAAAAGGGCACTTATAGTGCACATATAGTCCCTTATCACTCTAGAGGACACTTTAGCTTTCCCCTTGGCTTCCAAGAGGGCAATTTAATACACACTTTGGCTATAGAGAGGACACTGAAGACAAAACGCCCATTTTGGCTCTCAAAGGAGCATTTTAATGTATCTTTTGGGTCCTGAAAGGACATCATAGCACACATTTTTATGCTCCCAATATGGCTCTTTAGTAAGTGTTTTGGCTTAGGGCACTTTGTCACGCACTTTGACTCCTCAGAGGGCACTTTAGCACACGTTTTGGCTATAGAGAGGACACTGAAACGCCCGTTTTGGCTCTCAAAGGAGCATTTTGATGTATCTTTTGGGTCCTGAAAGGACACCATAGCACACATTTTTGCTCCCAATATGGCTCTTTAGTAGGTGTTTTGGCTCAGGCCAATTTGTCACATACTTTGACTCCTCAGAGGGCACTTTAGCACACGTTTTGTCTCTCGATAGGGCACTTTAACAAACTTTATGGTTCCCTAAATGGCACTTTAGAACATGTTTTGGCTCCTGAGAGGACACTTAAACACGCATTTTGGCTCCAGAAATGGCTTATAATTTATGTTTGCATGTTTGTTTGTGGGCTGCATATTGATGCAGTTGGTAGCACGGATGCTTTGGAGCAAGAAGGTTCTAAGTTCGATTCCCAGTCCGGGTCTTTCTGCATGTTCTTCCTGTGAATGTGTGGGTTCTCTCCCGGTACTCCGGCTTCCTTTCATAGTCCAAAAACATGACTGTTAGGTTAATTGGCTCCCTAAATTCTCCTTAGGTGTGAGTGTGTTTGTAAATGGTTGTTTGTCCAGTTTGTCTCTGTGTTGCCCTGCAATAGACTGGCTACCTGTCCAGGGTGTACCCTGCCTTTTTCCCGTAGACAGCTGAAGATAGGCACCAGCACCCCTAGCAATCCAAGCAGTGTGACGGAAAATGGATGGATGTTTCTTTGTTTCCTGCATGTCCCCTTTTCTTTCCACTAAAAAGTCACGGTGCCAAATGATTTCAGTCTTTTGTATTAGTCTTTACCCACCCATCCCTTTATCCTTTAATGTGAGTGTTATTATTGAGATAAAAAAAAACAAAAAAAACAAAACAGGGATGGAATTGGTTTTATCTCGACAGCTGCAGCGCAGAAGTATTTTGGATTCAAATTTAATGCCACAGTTATAGTTTATCTCTAAAATCTCTGAGACAATTTATCATTCAACAAATGTTGCCATCATGATTAGCCTAGAGGTCGATTTATTCCAATGTTTTCCTCCAGAACATATTTTTTATAACGATTCAAATCACTTATTTGATATACAAAATAAGACAGTATGTCTAATCCTGTTGATTACAGTACAGTCAGGTGACAGTCAGTCAGTCACCCCTAACAACAGTTAGTTTGGCAATGTGAACATTTATTTTTGCATATCCAAGTTAATATATTAGAAGAATTTTCATCTGCTTATATTTTATCTTCCAGGTTAGTCACTTATATTACAGTTTATTTTAACTGAAGTTTCAGTTGGGAATCAAAAAGCTGTAAAATGGAGCAAATTTTGGTTTTAATGGGTTCATTGGTGTCGGATTTGTTTCAGTTCTTTGGAAGTGGAAAGTAGAAGCACTGTGAGGATGAAAGCCTATGTGAGGCTTCTACAGTCTGCCTGCACTTAGCCATAGGTAGCCTGTCTCTGGGTTGTTTTTTCTAAACTAAACAAAGTTATTTAGATAAAGCTTTGTGTTTAAACTAGGCATCTTTAAAAGTTTGAATAGAAGTCCCTAAATAAATTTTTTGGGAAGTGAATTTAGCATGTCCTTTCATATGTAAATCAACGTGTTATCAATAAAATCAGGATTATTAGTGTTGGACTGAGAAATCAGCTGATAACTGGAATTAATATTTATCCTCATCAAGTCTGATTAGTTGGTATGAAACTTAATACAGTTCACTCAAATTATACAGTTTCTTCTAGATCAGGCTAAAGAAAATACTCTTTAGTAAGGAAGTTGTTATTGACAGAAGACTGAAAGTTATATATTTTCACTAATAGAGTTGTTTAAAAGTTGGACATTGTTATCTCTGTCCATACTTGTTCATCCAGGCTGCAAAAAAATGTAAATTAAATGGAGAAAACCTAATGGAAGACAACAGGAACATTGTTTTTTATTATTTTCAGCCTTTAACTGATGTTTCTTATTAAGCATGATGGATTTGTTTGCATTTTGGACCAAGATCGCATCAATTCAAAACTTTTTACCACTTGAGCCAAAATTAGGATGTTGAAAGTATTTAAAGCCCCAAAAAATTGTGAACCTTTGTGTCTTTAGGTCAGATGTGTCCTAACTCGATCCTCTGCTGCTGTCCTGCAGGTTTTTGAGGTTTCCTGCTTCAGCACAGCTTATTTCCATTGATAGCAACAGGCTTCTATATCTGACATTCGTCCAAACCAGCTGTGCTGAAACCAAGAACCATGAAAACCTGTAGGACAGTGGCACTCGAGGACAGTCTTTTGGACATGCCTGCTCTAGGTGTTTAAAAAAAGGGTAAACATCTGATATTTTAGTGATAAAAGTGATGAAAGGATCGGCACGGTGAAATAGTGGTTAGCAGTCTTGCCGCACTGCAAGAAGTTCACAGGTCTGCCTGATCTGTGACACTTTGTTGTATGTTCTCTGTATGTATAATGACAAATAAAGCATCTTATCTATCTTATCTATATATGATTGTAAAGCTAAATCTTAAAGAACATTACATAAATGTTTCTCTTAATGGGAAGTTTAATTCTTTTTACACACTTTTTTTTTCTTTCTATGCTGTACAACAAGGGAGTTGAGTCATTGTTATTTGCCAAACATTAACTGTATTTTGCAAATTCTGAAGATCTAACCCTTAGAAATAAACAAAATCTATCAGCACAAGTTTTTCATGCAGATGGACAAAACTGGTACAATTCTCAAACTGTAGTTTAGCAGAATCACTGAAAGGGCTGTTAATGGCCCTTGGATCACACTTTGGATGCCCTGACCGAGATTCTCTTTACAGAATATATTTTTAAACCCTTATGAAGCGACAGTAAAATTCTGATTCCAAATGTGATCTTCAGATTTTCTATTATATTCCAGAAAGGTTAAAACAATATTTTGAGCACAAAACTAGACCGATATTAATGAACATTTCAATGCTAATGTGGCTAATTATCATTTGTTGTCTGTTTTTGTTTCTTGCTTATAGCAGGAAGGCTTAAAAAATATAAAAGAATGATGGATTGGTGCCTCTCTAAAAAAATGCTTCTTCCAATTTCCTTTTAAGAGAGAATCAAAAACCTGGGATGCATCTGTCATTTTAAAGTCTACTTTTGCCCCAACTCCCCTCAGGTTTATTGAAGGTCAGCTTATTTAAAAAGCTGAAATCTGCTGTAAACCACCAGCCTTCTCCCCATTTTCCACTCCTTTAACTGAGGTAATTGACAAGTCTCTATTTGTCTGACTTGATTTGTTAGATCGTTAGTCTACTTTATTAGCTTGTAGGATTCAATTTATTTTACCATTTCACAGCAGTCAAGTGGTCATTCATCAAGGAGGACACCTGTGTGTGTTCACATCCACAAGATGTTTTTTTGTTAAGTGGAACCATAAGTTTCAAAGCAATCTCCAATTCATCCGTCAGCACAGAGAGATTGATCTGCTGTTCTTAAAATGCTATGGCTGTCAAGTGTAGTAGAAGGGTTGTCATATTCTCAGAAATGCTGAATGTGCTCCAAGCTGTCTTACTGTTTGTCTGCTGAAGTCACCATTAAACCTGATATATAAAGACTTCCCACTCATCTGTTTCCACATTTTTATCCTCTCCTCTCTCCCCCCAGGCTGTGAGGTCCTTCCAGATTGCCATCCACTTGTGTCCCTCAGAGCGTAGCCTGTGGCAGGAGGATTTGAAATGGGCATGGACCTTACAGAAGCAGCAGTTGGCCACCAAAGAGAAGATTAGACAAGAGGAGGAGACCAAAAAGCAGGTTCTTAATGCCCCTGAGCTGGAGCAGGACTACGACTTTGAGTCAGATGAAGTCCTAGCTGCCTGTGTGGCCGTCGCTGAGAGACAAACGCACTACGAGGAGTTGAGGAGGACCAGCGTGGTCATCGATGCTGAGGGGAATGTACGAAGTGTAGTGAGTGGGGAAGAGGGATCACAGGATGCAGATACACCAGCAAAGGAGGAGTTTGTTAAAGCAAGAGGACTCTGAACTGCTCTCATGTTGAACTGATTATTGTGGGCAAAGCATAAAGCTAACATTAGGAGAAATAAAGCAGAAGTCATAGTTATTGCAACTCTTTGTGTGTAGCGTTCCCATCCTTTTACCATCAAAAATACTACAATGAGACTGCTGAGTTTTTGTGCTTATTATGAGTCATAGGGCTGGTATTGATCGAGGCAGGATCAGCCGCCAGAGTTATGTTTCAGTTAACGTCAATGTTCAGCAAGCAGCCCCTGCTTCAATTTATCCAGATCCAGAATGGATCCAGATGCCCCACAGTTTCACAACTTCCCACTTTCTGTCATGTTACAATCTACTCTAATGTATTTTATCAGAGGTTTATTTTTGTGGGGGAGCACAACAGAGTATCTTTGTTCAATCATACATGGTTGCAATTGTATGAATTTCAATGAGAGAAATGGACTCTATCCATCGCTGAACCATCCTTCCATCACTGGAATTCCAGCTGCCAATCTGGACAGCTTTCCATTAAGGGTCCAGTTATCTTTGTAAACAGAGTCCTGATCAATCAGGTTGGATAGTATCTGTGACCATTAATTGTAGCTGTTTGCCACATCTACATTGGATTTATGTCTGAACTTCATCTGCAGCATGAATTTGCTCTGATCACATCTGTTCTGTTGCAACTTTTGCTGAGTATCTTAGGTTTTTCATCAGCAGGAAGACAAATCACCCTGTTTTTAACTTAACCAGTCTTTCATCATCTCTGGCAATCTTCCACAATGCTGCCATGATTCTGTTTTATGAAGATGATGCTTTCATGGTGACCAAACACAGTTTTCCACATTTTTGCTATTTCATCAAGTTTGATCAATAATTGTCTCAACTTCTTTATACATCAGCTCTATTTATTTAGAGATTAACCTACTTTTGGATGGACTCTGTTTACTAGATAATGGACGTTTATTGGCAGCTGTTGTCACTGTAGTAGATTTTAGGGTATTGGGGTAAAACAAGAATGTAAATATACACACATTTCAAGGATTTTCTGTTGGTTTATCACAAAACCCTTTGTAAAATACATACAAGTTTGTCTTTTTATTGTCATAACATGTGGAAATGTTCAAAAGGGAATGATTACTTTACAAATACACCAAATTCAGTGTTTTATTCTGAAATGGGATTATTATGGTAAAATGGTACCTACAAATGTTTGGACTTCCAGATAAAATAAAGGACTTATATATATACACTCACCGGCCACTTTATTAGATACCCCATGCTAGTAATGGGTTGGACCCCCTTTTGCCTTTAGAACTGCCTCAATTCTTGGTGGCATAGATTCACAAGGTGCTGGAAGCATTCCTCAGGGAGTTTGGTCCATATTGACATGATGGCATCACACAGTTGCCACAGATTTGTCGGCTGCACATCCATGATGCGAATCTCCCGTTCCACCACATCCCAAAGATGCTCTATTGGATTGAGATCTGGTGACTGTGGAGGCCATTTGAGTACAGTGAACTCATTGTCATGTTCAAGAAACCAGTCTGAGATGATTCCAGCTTTATGACATGGCGCATTATCCTGCTGAAAGTAGCCATCAGAAGTTGGGTACATTGTGGTCATAAAGGGATGGACATGGTCAGCAACAATACTCAGGTAGGCTGTGGCGTTGGAACGATGCTCAATTGGTACCAAGGGGCCCAAAGAGTGCCAAGAAAATATTCCCCACACCATGACACCACCACCACCAGCCTGAACCGTTGATACAAGGCAGGATGGATCCATGCTTTCATGTTGTAGACGCCAAATTCTGACCCTACCATCCGAATGTCGCAGCAGAAATCGAGACTCATCAGACCAGGCAACGTTTTTCCAATCTTCTATTGTCCAATTTCGATGAGCTTGTGCAAATTGTAGCCTCAGTTTCCTGTTCTTAGCTGAAAGGAGTGGCACCCGGTGTGGTCTTCTGCTGCTGTAGCCCATCTGCCTCAAAGTTGGACGTACTGTGCGTTCAGAGATGTTCTTCTGCCCACCTTGGTTGTAACGGGTGGTTATTTGAGTCACTGTTGCCCTTCTGTCAGCTCGAACCAGTCTGGCCATTCTCCTCTGACCTCTGGCATCAACAAGGCATTTCCGCCCACAGAACTGCCGCTGACTGGATGTTTTTTCTTTTTCGGACCATTCTCTGTAAACCCTAGAGATGGTTGTGCGTGAAAATCCCAGTAGATCAGCAGTTTCTGAGATTCTCAGACCAGCCCTTTGGCACCAACAATCATGCCACGTTCAAAGTCACTCAAATCACCTTTCTTCCCCATACTGATGCTCGGTTTGAACTGCAGGAGATTGTCTTGACCATGTCTACATGCCTAAATGCACTGAGTTGCTGCCATGTGATTGGCTGCTTAGAAATTAAGTGTTAACGAGCAGTTGGACAGATGTACCTAATAAAGTGGCCGGTGAGTGTATATATATATATATATATATATATATATATATATATATATATATATATATATATATATATATATATATATATATATATATATATATATATATATATAAATACACTGTAAAAAATTCATTTTAAATAAGTCAGGTAAGATTTGACATTTGTTTGGAATTATTGTGTCAGCAGATGTTGGAGAAACGGGTTACAACTGTAAATTGTATCCAGTTAAAGTGTCACCAAGTGAACAAACACGAGTCGATCTGAGTTTAAGCTGTCCCTTGATTTTCTTACCTTTTTGTGAGTTTTTTTGTAGTTTTTCTTTCATAACCTTGTGGTTAAATCATATCTAAAGATCAGAAAATGGATTTAAGAAATACATTGTTCTGTATGTTTGATTAGATATATATTAAAATTTTAAAAAGTATTCATTTTTTTTGTGTTGAATATACATAAAAAAATTTTAAAAATGGAGAAAAACAACCTTTCAACATCCGCTCCACAGCTCAAGCCAGAACTGATGTTCTGAAAGAACATCTGCACTTCAATATTTTTTAATATGATTCCAACCATAACTCAGTTTGGAGACATTCCTACACCATATGTGTTGTTGACTTACATGCTTCTGTCTGACTAATCCAAAAGACGTCCTACTGGGCTAAGGTCATCCGACAGGAGACGCCACATGACTAATAGCAGGCTTGCTTTCTTCTCCATGTTTTCGCCGAGCACAGATGTTGAAGTCTGAGCAAGTCAGTTGAGCTTTTAAAGGCGTAGTGTGACGGTTGAAGATGGAGAGATATTCCTGTTGATTCATCAATTCCTCTGCTGTGCTTCTTGTGCTTACATGTTTCCGTAAATTAATCTCTCTGAAAAAAACGTAAATAACCTTAAATCATCTCAAGTCCTTCTAATGGCTCTGAACTCACTTTACTCTCCACTGATCTGGGAGAAGAGTGCAAGTGACTCATTTTAGGAAACATTTATCATGCAAATCTGAGACCTAAGGCTGCCTCTGGACGGTTGATACCTTGGAGCAACTACCATTAAATTGACATGTCAGTGGGTGAATAGTTTGGTCTCTCACATAGATCACCAAAAGCAAAGTAAATCTGCCCTTTAGAAGCTTATTAGCTCCCCTTACAAAGATAAAAACATGCATACATTAGTGCGGTGGCCAATCAGTGAAATCACCATTCAACTGAATAATTTTACAAGAAATTCAAAATCTCCTGCAAACAAAAAAAAAAAATTTAATTTGTTAACGCAAAAAGATTAAAACAGTTTGCTAGTGTCATTTTTGTTTTTGCAGACATTTTTAAAATTGAAAAATGTATATTTCAGAAGATAAACTTATGTGGTTACCAGATATAATATCTGTATACTATATATATATATATATATATATATATATATATATATATATATATATATAAAAACTGTTTTCTCACCCCTCGTGGGGTGGTATGTGTCATCCTCAAGCTCGGGTCCTCTTTGAGGGTTCTGCGCATATCTTAGCTGTTCCTAGGACTGCACTCTTCTGGACAGAGACCTCTGATGTTTTACCTGGAATCTGCTGTAGCCACTCTCCCAGTTTGGGGGTCACAATACAAGAGCCATACCGGCTCGGACGTCGCCCGGGTTAACAAGGTCCGCGTCAGTTGCTAGGGAACCAGGGCAACTTGATGACAAATTGGCTACTGGAACAAGACTTAGATGGACTAGAGCAGAAAACTTGGTACTGATATATATATATATATATATATATATATATATATATATATATATATATATATATATATATATATATATATATATATATATACATATATATATATATATATATATATATATATACATATATATATATATATATATATATATATATATATATATATATATATATATATATATATATATATATATATATATATATATATATATATATATATATATATATATATATATATATATTTGGGTTGTCCTGCTTTTAGTAGAACAGTGGAGCTGCTTGCTAATTTAGTCGCAGTTTTGTTTTGTTTTTTACCATCAGTATCTATATGTAGCAAATATTTAATTTTTTTCACCAAAGTCTTTTGCATAAAGGTCAAAAATTGTATAATTTCCATCTCATCTGTACCCTCTATTCCTATGATTTTAGGCAAATCTGAGTTGTGGTCTACCAATACTGGCTTTCCTCTTTCCAATCATCTTCTTTTCTATAGATTAGCTGACATTCACCGTTACATAAATAGTTATATGGCTAGCTGTTATTGCATATAAAACATTCACAGTGTTGTGATATTTAGAACCTTTGTGCATCACTTTATGAAGAATAAATGGAAATAATGCAAATATCCATAAAGTAGAATTACTCATGTTATGTTGCAGGTGCATCTGTTGTTTTAGGATCCTGTATTCAGTCAGGGCGTGTCCTTTATCTCCACTATCCACGGTCCGCACATGCATAGCTACTGTGTTCAGACGTGTGTGAGAGAGAGTGAAGAAACAAGGAATTCCTTTTTTCAGTGCATGGCTGCGTCTTGAGTGTGTCTAGAGCTATAAAATTAGCTGACTTCATGGTTGTAAAGCTTCCAGGATGCAGGTAGCTGTTTGTGGAATTAAATACAGACTTCCCTAGATAGTCTGTTTGGATTTTAAGTACTTTCTAATGTTGGATAAGAACAAAAAAATACTAATTTTTGAAGATTTTATTCCCATCCCCCAGTATCTAGCTGTTGTTTCATTTCCTCATTGTGTCCTTCCTGTTTTTATTCATTTTTTTCCTCGGGTCCCTGGTGTGCTCAATCCTCCTACATGTGCCTTTATTTACTATTTAACGCATAACAAGCATTTTTTATTCGATACTTTGATGCTTTATTTTCTCTCTCCTTGATATACATTAATCTGTTTAATGTCCCTTTACCTGTCCCTCCTTACATCCTTCCTTCCTCCATTACTCTTCATTCCTCTCGTGTTGAAGTGATCAACAACTCAGGCTAATTGCAAAACGAGAGAAATGTGCCTAATGGAAAAGAAAATTCATGAAGAATGCAGTTTACGAAAAAAAAAAAGCTAATCAATTGGTATAAAATCCAAAAGAGATGATTTGAAGACTGGTTCTGAAGAACCCCACATGTTGATACTGAATGTGCAGCACTTTGTTAATAATTAAGTAAAAGATACAAAGCTGAACATAAACCACAGGCTTAAAGATGCGTTTTTCCTGATTGTACCAAGAAAAGCTGTAGGCATCCCAAGAAACTTGAGCTCTAAGATAACTTGTGGTTATATATTAGCTTATTTTTCAAACCAGGGAGGCCTCTTCAGAGACAGGATAGAGGAGGAGGTCTGAATTTAAAGCCTCCCTGAAAATCACACCAACGATCAGCAGCCACAGACCCTCTCACCATCTGCTTTAAACTGATACCCATGAAACATATGTTTGAAAGAAAGATATAAATCTCCATCTGAGAAATGTTTTCACTTTGCAGTGTTTAAACAAATGATGGTGAAACAATTGTCTGGAAAAACCATAAAAATACCTGATAAAAGTTTTAGGTTTACTGGAAAATGTATTGAAGCACGTATGATGAAAACATTCGTTTTTGGTCCAAGTTTTACAGTTTGAACTCATTACAGTGTGATCAAGGTTGCACGGGAGAAAGAATACAATGAAACAGATTTATTTAAATATGGATCTAATATCAAGTGACCAAAAGAATAAAAACAACCTGACCAAAAAGTTGGATTCTCTATGATTCCCATCTGCAGTGCTGAAAATCCCATCCACAATGTTTTTCCATCTAGTTCTCTTAAAGTCAGCAGTATTTTTTTAGAGGTTTAGATGTCTAAAACATCCTTCTTTAGGTGTGTGACTAACCAACTGTGATGAGGTGAGAGAACAATGCAAGTTTCCAGGAAAGATCATTTTTCATCTGCTAAAATCTTCCCTCTTCTGTTTGTCAATCACAGTTTCCGGTCTCTGGGGAGATTTTACAGCCTGAACAGGTTTCTCCATCTGATCTCTCAGCTCCTTTTAAAGAGTTATTGTCCTCAGAGGGACATTTAATTGCTCCCGTAAGACTTTGGAGGGACGCCACGTTGGACCTGGAAATCTTTGGGGAATAAAGAAACGTCCGTAGATGCATATAAGATCGGGGTCGCGTGATCTGAGCTCCCAGTCGGTTCCATCTGAAATAGTCTGTTTTAAGTGTTTTAGTTATTTCTGCTCTTATGGAAAGAGGTGAAGGAAATAACACGTGTTGCAAATTATCCCAAAACGATCTCACTGGCAAAGGAAAATGTTAAAAACAACCACTTCTTAAAAATTATTTTTAAAAATCTTACACAGATGGTCAAGTATTTACTGACAGGAAAAGTAGCAATTCTTCTTTAGCCCTTCCACATTTAATCACATTACTAAACAAAAGTGCTGTTCTACTTTTTAGGTATATTTGAATTGCTAACATTTAAAAGAATTTCTTTATAAATCTGATTAAGTACTTCCTAATGCTGGATAAGTACAAAAAATACTCATTTTTGCAGATTTTATTCCCATCCCCCACTATCTAGCTGTTGTTTCAGGTCAGTTAGGACGAGTGACTCATGTTGATTTGGTAAATATCAGAATAATGAGGTAGGAAAATTTTCTTTCCTACCTCATTAGTTTCCTATTAGTTTGCTGGGAAGTCTTGTATCTGAGTCAGGTTTGTTTTTTCACCTCTACCCACACGTCTTGTGTTGGTCATGAACTCAGGACTTCATAATGACCTCCTCAGAACATGCTAATAATTTAACTTTATTGATCTCAAATTGGAGAAATGTACCTCTGCATTTTGTCTGCCGTAACGGGGCACCCAGGGAGCAGTGTGGGGTTAAGGGTCTTGCTCAAAGAGCCACAGTGGCAGTCTGTGGGAGTGGGGCTTGAACCCAGAACCTAAGGACTCCAAGCCCTATACCCTAATCAATAAGTCCTGAATTGGTCCTCAAGCCGCTTTGTTACTAATTTGCTTAGCTTCATTTGACATTCAGTATTTCCATCTTTCCATTTTAACGCTGAAATGTAGCAATGGTTATTATTGTCAACCGTTTCATTCTGTTTCATTAGACCACAGCACATGTCTTCAAATATGAAAGCCCCTGAATCTATTTTCAAACTTTAACCTGTTACTTATGTTAGGTGTTCAGTTTTTCCTTCCTCCACTGCTTCTTAGCTGATGTTATGACACGCCTGCTGTCACTGCAGATGAACTCATCCTAACAGCTTTAACCAGCCTCTTCATTATGTTTTTTAAAGGCGTAGAAGTCCTTGTGTTTGTGAACTCATGACATTGAAGAGAGTGATAAAAAATGCTTTTAACAGGTTGATCATCCATGATTTCTTTGATATTTACCTATCTATCCCTTTTCTTCCGCTTTATCTGGGGCCGGGTTGCGGAGGCAACAGTCTAAGCAGAGAAGCACAGACTTCCACACACACCTCCTCCAGCTGCTCTGGGGGGACCCCAGGGCGACATCAGGTCAGCTCAGACACATGGTGTCTCCAGCGTGTCCTGGGCCTTCCACAAGGCCTCCGCCCAATAGGACATGCCTGGATCACCTCTAGACGGAGGCAACCAGAAGGCATCCGGAACAGATGCCCAAGCCACCTCAGCAGGCTCCTTTCGACATGCAGGAGCAACGACTCCTCCCGGGTAACTGAGCTCCTAACCCGATCTCAAAGGGTGCGCCCAGCTATCCTCCTTGAAATTTGGCACACAGAAATAAATTTTAAAGTCCTGACTAACATGTAAGAAAACAAATGTATTTCTATGCATCTTTAGACATCTTGTTTCAGGTCATGGTAGATGGTTAAAATCTGAATCCTATGACTTAAGTTAATATTTAGGCCCCTTAACCTGTATACTGTTAATTGATAACCCAGCACAATGAATTGGACTTAGAGCCCCGATGTAGAAACAGCTTATATGAATAAATGAGTGATTCTGTGAAGGCCTAATGTTACAGAAACAGCTGATTCCTCACATAACATACCATCTCAACCGTGACACAAGGTGGTGGCAGAATCATGCTGTGGGAATTCCGTTTATCAGTAATTACAGCTAAAGAGGCCAGAGTTTGACACAGGAGCAAACCCTGGCCACCCTTCCATTACTAGTACAGATTGAGTCACAATGTACTAAATAACAGCAGGTTTTATTTACTTTACTAAAAGGAATGCAGTCTCCACTAATGTAAGATGATTCGGATTAATCTCAATAAAATAATGTCTTTTTATTCCCCTTCAGCAAAGAAGTAATAAGGTTGTTTTTATGGGCTGTCAATTCTTAAAAAAATAATAAACAACTTCCAGCTTTCCCGTATTTTGGCATAGTTCCATAAAAACAACATTTTTAAAGAATCAATTTTTCTTTTTTCTTTCACAAGATGCTTTTTCAGCAAAAAACAGATGCTTGTGAATATGTATTGAAGGGGTGTTGTTAGCAGCACAATGAGAATAGTGTTTTATAGAACCGTTTTAACTGACACAACATCTTCCCAACATCACAACATCCCTTTTCTTAACAAACCCATAGAGCCAAATCAGATATGAGGCTTTACATTAAGCTAAAATATGATTGGAATCTGAAAACACTGGGTTAAAACAAGTAAATTAACAGTTTTAGAGAATAAAAATCACATTAAATGGTCTTTTAATCATCTTCTGCTGTGTTTGAAAAAAAAAAAAAACATAGTATAGCTGCCTTTTGTTATGAAATGTGGAAAATACTATTTAGAAGTGTCAGGGGTCCTTAAGTAATACAATCAGTTTTCAAATGTTCAGATGTTTTAAAAAACAAAGACACTTTAAGTATATTCATCTTTAAGAAATGTAAAATGGCACAGAAATATCTAAACCTTCTCACAGAGAAGACAGTAACACACATTTTCATACTTTAAATAATTTAAAACGCCATTCACATTTTGACATTGATCCTTTACAATCACTGAGTGTCATTTCCGACGGCCGAGTGGTTCAAAAGTTTTTAAAAGTGCAACAGAAGAGTCCCTTTATGATTACAACAAGAGTGACTGGAATCAATTGAGGGAATCACTACTGAGGAGTAATGCCTTGATCATACACTGGGGATGCTGATGGCTAAATGCATTTTTCCTGCATGTTAGCGGTCTCGTCTGTGAGGGTCACATGCAGGGCTGTGTCCTTCGGGCCAATTGAAAGGTTAGTAGGGATCAAGTTGTCCTCTGATTCCCTCTGCAGGAGCTCCGTCTGAGGCTGGGAGTCTTCTTGTGTGCAATGTGACGTCTGCTCAGCTCCTAAGCTGGAGCCTTCCTTTGACCTGGCCTGGAAAGAGACCAGTCCCAGCATGTTCCCATCAGTCGGGTAAAGGATACTCTGTAGGGTGCTGACTCTCTCCCCCGGCTCATGGGACGCTAACGACGGCGAATCCCTTGAGACGATAGAGGAGGTAAGGGGTCCATCTCCACACAGAAAGTGTCCTCCCCCCCGCCGTCCCCGGCCTCCCATTTTACAGAACAGACACTTGATCTTCTCTACTACTTTGAGAACTACTGTCTTTTTCAAGAGGATGTAGAACCAGGGGTCTAGGATTGGGTTGACAGAGGCCATGCGGATGGCTCTCAGGTCCTCATTCAACCAAGACTTCTCCATTGTCTGGTTTTTGAAGATTTGATTTTGGAAGATCCTCAACTGGTGATAGAAAAAAAAAGATATTCTAAATTAGTTTCATAGTATATGAACAGTGAACAGAATTGTCAAACTGCATAAAGCTTTGAAGTTCTTAAAAGATTTAGAATTTATTGATTGATTGACTTTATTGATCTCGCAGTGAAGAAATGTACTCATTACATCAGTTCAATTCGTCAAAGAAGAATGTGCCAAAGGAAGAAAAAGTTGCATAGGATATATACAGTATATAGTACGGAAGCCGAGAGCGGTCATACCCAACTTTTTTTTATTTGTCCTTTGTCTTCTCGAGATAACGACATAACTATCTTATTATCACGGCTTAACAAATAATTGTTTTCTCAAGATAACGAGATAATTATCTGGATTCCCAGTCCGTCTATGCCTGCAGTCGCGGTACCATGTGTGCACAAATAATATATTTTTAGTTTCCTATTTCTTTTCAATCATTGTCAGGTCGTGGTGGATGATTGGATTGCATGGAATGCAGTAGAAACAAATATGACTGTTTTTAAATGAAAATCTTTAATCTGGACTCATTTTGGGGGTTAATGCATCTAATACCTGTTACAGGTGTAACACCGGGGCTGTTCAGAAAACATCCGGCGCTAAGCCAGTGGAGGCATAGGTCTAATGGCTAATGAATCAGAAGTGGAAGCAAATCATCAAACCATCAACGTTGTCTCGTTACCTAAAAGTTGAACACAGGATTATTTACAGAATTACACATAGGCTGCTATGACTTATAAATCCTCTCCTTCTGTTGTGGTGTTGAATGATGCAATCAGTTTTAACACAAACCAATCATCTCGTTATCACGAGAAAACAGCTTTCGTTATCTTTAGACAATGAGAAAATTAACTTGTTTTCTCGTTAAATCCACTGTGAAAAAGTATCTGAGGGACATGACCGCTCTCGGCTTACGTAATATAGAGTGAGAACACAAAAGACTTTTTTTAAAATAGTAGATCATTATACAGGGTGTTTATGAGGGGCGGTCAATAAGTACCCACTTCCAGATGTTTGATCGACCTGAAATTTTGCGTGGGAAATTATTTAAATCTCTATAGATTAAATAGCAAATTACAGCTCTGAACTAATTGTGGTTTCTAATTCACAGGTGTTCAAACTGAGTCAAGTCTGTGTTCTTGCATTTGAAAGGACGCACACAACGGGAGACTTTTGATCAAATGAAAGTAACTTATAGTGATAATGTCCCATAATATAACCCTGTAAAACATTTTGCAAGGTCATATAATGGGCATCTTCGCCATAAATTACTTTAATTTCATCAAAAGTCTCCCGTGGTTCGAGTCCTTTCCAACAGAAAAACCGGATCACTGCTCGACACTCAACAGGCTCCATTTTAGAATTTACTCAGTTTAAACACCTGTAAGTCAGAAACCACAAATAGTTCAGAGCTGTAATTTGCTACTTAATCTGCAGAGATAAAATAACCTCATATGCAAAAGTTCAGCTGGATCAAACATCTGGAAGTGTGTCACATGCACTACTTATTGAACGCCCCTAGCACATGTGTATGCATTCTAACAACACAGAAAATGTCGAGTGAAACACAAAAGACACCTGTTTCTTTACCAACTAAAATCTGAATCATGTACTGTGGATTTTCTTTAAGCATATTTGACTCAGTACATGCTGCAGGTCCCCTCAATCCCTACCTTTTGCAAATCTAAACTCCAAAAGTCTACTTTTACATTTACATTTAAGCTCAGATTTAATGGAACTGATGGAGAGCATTGGTTAAAAGTTAAGGGCTGTTAAGGATTACTGAACATGAAAGAAGGGTTACACTTTGTCACATGCGCCAGATTTGTGAATTGAAAAACTACTAGTTTTTTCTCTGAAGTTATGTTTTTCTGGATTTTAGGCTATTTAGAATAAAGGGGGCTCAATACAAATACACGCCACACTTTTCAGATTTTTCCATTTGTAAAGCAATTTGAAAAACGATTTTTGCCTTTTTCTTTCCACTTATAATTATTACCTATATTTTTCATAACAAAACCAAACTACACTTCATAACAGTTAGTAGACATGATTTAAGAAGATGTTTAAAGAGTGTAAAGACTTTTTTTTTTTTTTTTTTTTTTTTTTACAGTACAGTTGATTAACTGCACAGAAATTGAACCCTGAAAGACTAACAGCAAATGCTGGATCTTTATGGGAATGGGCCAAGAAAAGCAGTAATCATAAAAGAGCCTTTGGCTTTTGCTTCCCATGACTCTAACTGACACTCATTATATCTTAAATCCAGAGGCACAAACATCTCAATGTTTGTCGTATCCGGTTCTACATTATTTCTGCGTTATGAGACTATTTTCAACTATACATCCAATTACACATTTAAATGGAAACACTAACCAAACCATGAGGGCTCGTTTAATTCATTTAGTTTAATTTAGATGTTGATTAGTCAAACTGAATGGAGATACTGCATATAATTGGTGGGTTGGATATGGCAGTGTTATGATCCATGGATACAATAAAAAGAAAAGAAAAGCTGCATATGCATATTTGATCCCCCCCCCCCCCCCCCCCCCCCCATCCCAGAGTAAAGGTTTCACTAATCACTAAATAAGCTGTAGTTAATCTGTAATGAGGATGTAATCATTTCTAACCGGTTAACTACTTTTTATATTTCATAATTTCTCTCTTATGGTCCCAAACCCAGAATTTCTGTGCCTTTTATGAGCTTTTAGCTCAGAAATAACCAGTTTACCTTCTTGTGAAACTTGACTCAAATAGGTTCTTCTGGCCAAATTTTAAATATTTAGTTGTTTATATATTTTGCCTGTTTAGTGTTATTGGAGTGGGTTGTTGGTGGTGATCAGCATTAAAATTGCCACCTTCCTTCCAAGCTTAAGGGCCCTCAAGAGGAACTACAGGTAGTCCCTGCTGTACAAACCACACATAGTTTAAGCATCACATAGATGGATACCTTTTATATCTGAGCTTGTTAGGTTTAGTTTTTCCAAGGAATTATTTATTTAGCCACAATTACTCATCAAGTAATTGCAGAAACCCTCTGTTTTATTTAGCTGTATTATTTAACAGAAATATAATAAATTAATGCAACACAGGAGGCTGAATAAACAATTTACATCCCAAGAACTTGACTTAGCACTTCGTATAAAATGTGAAATGATTTCATCATAATAATTTGTATGATTATTACTATCATTTAAAACAAGATCTTTCTGCATGTTTGGCTCATAATAGTCCAAAATCAAAGTTTTGGTGTCAGGACCTTATATGCAGTGGCGGTTCTAGACCAAATGTACCAGGGGGCCGGGAGGGGGCCAGCGTGTTTTCATGGGAGCACAGAAAATCATGAAATAAAAAACGGGCCTAGGGATTCAAATATAACAGCATAAAGGGAAATCTCTATTTAATTAGATTTGACTAAAATAAAAAAGGTCTTATTGGATCAATATACATTCATAATTTAGGAATTTTACATATTTTTGACTTAATTTAAGCTAAAATTACTTTTTTGTATAAAATCTGAATTAGAACAAAAAAAAAAGATAAATTCATCTTTTCTTTTTATTTTAAAAAACATTTAGCAGATGAAAACTGGGATCCTATCTCAATACCATTGAAGCTATCACCTTATTGTTTATAAATAATTTGTAAAACAGAATTTGTAAAGAAAAAAATTTAAATAGATCCAAATGACCTGCATATCATCATTAGAGTATTATGTCTTCAGTACATGGGCCATAACAGGGGCCAGGACATGATCTATGGGGGCACTGGCCCCTGTTGGCCCCTCTCTAGAACCGCCCATGCTAATAGGATAGTAAATTTGTAGCCATGTTTTCTATTTTCTGTGCACAATTTTCCTTACAGATCAACAACAACCTTAAAACATTTTGCTTTGTTTTTCAGAGGGGGTCGACCTATCTGTCAGATGCCTGCAGCCTTGCGGTCAGAACTGAGAACTGAAACTTGTTCAACCTCTGAACCAGATGAAGTGTGAACAACCACACGTGCGCTTCAGTACACAATGTTCAAAAAGAACCCAACAGTCATCAATTACTGAGTGTTTATCTTCAATGCCGTCAATATGCCTAATTTTGTCTTAAACTGAAGAAGCTTCCATCTGGAGCGCATAGATCCATAAGCAGAACTATTGAGATAAATGATCCAATACTCACAACTAAAGGTATGGAGCAGATTAGAACCACGGCTGAGGTTCCGATCAGCACCACAACCATCTGTATCTCGGCTCCAGCCAACCCCTTGATGCTCCGCCGGCGCCTGAGCTCCGCGTCCCTCCGCGGGTCGATGCCCACAGAGGTGCGTCGGATGAGGCGTCTGTGCATCCGGATAAGCGCACCGCAAACCATCACGTTGCAGAAGACCGTTGCCAAAACGATCAGCGAGTTCAAACCCGCGTAGATCAAGTTGTAGGCTCTCACGGTGGTGTCGTTGCTCCTCCAATCGATGAAGCACCAGGTACCGGGGTCTTGGCGCTTCACCTGTCCGATCCCCACGATGGGCAGCAAGCAAAACAAGAAGCTCGTCACGTAGACCGCAAAGAGCGTCCACGCAGCCAGTCTCTGGTTGACCAACTGGTTGTAAATGTAAGCATGATTTATAGCCAGGAACCTTTCCACTGACATGAGGAACACGATGCTCAGTTGCACCAAGAAGAAGTAGAGCAGGATAAAGCCTGCGTATTGGCACAGTTGGTCTCCTCCAGGCCAGGAGCCTTTCACATAGGTGGCGATGGTGACGGGGCTCGCCAGCAGGGTTCCCAGGAGGTCTGTCACCGCCAACCCGAACACCAGAGTGTAAAAGGTCGTTTCCTTCTGCTCCTTCTTCGACAGGCGCAGAACCACGATAGCGATGACATTTCCCAGCACCCCGAGTAAGAACATGATGGTCGGGATGGTGAGCGGACGAGGCGACGGTGGCCCCGCGGTGCTGTTCATACCTGCTAGCGAGTCGTTCATGGCAAACATTGTCTTCTTACTTTCAAAGGAGAGACACTTTCCATTAACGCGCCTTGTTTTTGGCTGAAGAACGAATCCATCGTGTCCGCTAAGGGTCCATTTTTACGCACAGGATTTTACCTCCATGTTTATTGTGGAGGTGGAAAAAAAAGCATGAATCCAGGAGAGGAAGAACTTTTGGTTTTGTTTAATGTCTCGACGCTCGCACCTTCATGTCCTCATCACACCCACAAACTTGATAGGGAAGTTTTAGTTTGCTCCTCCTATGTGCGTCTGAGGTGTTGTCAGTCTGCGCGCCCAGAGCGCACTGGCTACAGGCGCTCACAGTTTCAGCTCCTCTTTAAGCTTCTGTCCCCCGATCACTTTTCAGTTGACATCACCACAGGTCAGAGCAGTAGAAGGCAGATTAAACCAGATCAGCAGGAAGACACTAATCATTTTCTTTCTCCAGCACCCTTATTAAAACATTACAGAAATCCCTCCTTTTTGAAATTAGACTTTTTTTTACTTCACTTAAAAAAGGTAAACTGTAGCTATAAATAGTAATCCTTACGCCCTTATTGATGTAAATATCTATCAATAATTTCAAGTTATAATTTACTTACTATTTCCAGTTAAGAGAAAATGAATGCATTTTAAAAATTTCATGAAAAAAAACCCATACTCAGATAAAAAGGGTAAATGAAACCATTTAAAAATAAATTCCTAAATGCTCTCCAAAAATGTTTTGAGTGTTACATTGACTTAAATTGTAGACAAAATGGAAAAATCTTCTGCTAATTGAAACTTTTTTATAATGGTGCACAGGTAATAACCAATGTACACTGAGGGGTGGCCAAAAGCGGATTGGGGCCAGAACCTCAGGGTCAATCTACACTCTTCCAACAGGAAAATTTATGTGCAAAATATCCATATTTTCTAAATAAAGACAAACTATACTTTCCTACAGGCTTTGCTGACAAGTAGACGCATATATTTAAACATCCGAGCTTTCTAGATAAAAGGTATAGTGGATAAAAGTCTTTCAGTTTTGAGTTCTGGGGTGTAAATATTTTCCATCGTCATTACTTACCTACTTGTATCAATAAACATTCTGCTTAAAATTGATATTTACAAGCACTGATATCTACATAAATGTATTATTTGATAAGTTTTTATTAAAATTGTTATTTATCTATGATTTCAGTGAAGACTCCCAGATGACTTGCAGAGACACATTTTCTCTTTACCCCATATAACACAAAATCTAGTTCTGAAAAGAGCATTAATTCTGTATTTGTTATCTTTGATGTTAGTATATTGATGTGTATAATTAACCATAAAAACATGTAATGTTTTGAATATTCCATTTGAGAGAATTCCTGCTGCCACCATCTTTATTAGAGGTAAAAAATGGTAGGGGTGGCCACAGGGGTGGCCAATGATTGGTTAAGGTTGGCCATGGCCACCCCTGGTCCCCCATCTAGCTCTCCCCCTGGTGGTGGGTCTAAAACCTGTTACATGCAGGATGAAGCATGCACAAAATATGCAGGCAGCAAAGAAAAACAAATGTTCCACAAAATGAATAAATAAGGAAAATGAATACAGAACATGAATTCAGAAAAATCATACAGGACTGATCTCAGACATCACTTAGGATGAAAGTTTTTGTTTGGAAGAAACTACTGTCACTCATCCTCATGCCTTCAAGTCAGGTTATTCAGGCTTGTAGGTGTGGCGAATATTTTTATTTTTATTTTTTTATGTTGTGAGTTGGAATCAAAATGTTCATGACAATTTAACCGTTGTTGAAGATTAAAATTAGCAACAAATATACTAAAAGATTTCAGTATTTTTAGTTGATGATGATTATTGGCCTACAACATTATTCTTTAGGTTGCATGTTGTGGTGGGATGTATTGTAAAAGAAAAGGAAAGGTGGCGCAATCGAAATTAAAAGACAACAAACAAAAAAATGTTTAAAATTCAGGACTTTATTTTAAACAGGCACAGTCACATTATATTCCTGAAAACATTGATTGTCCTGTTTTAGCCTAAATAGAATTCCAGCACTGGGCATCATGACAGATTTGTTCACTATCTGTAGGCGGTATCTATGAGCTCAACCTTCATATGATAACTCCAGCACCATTTGAGTCTTAACCTTCATGGAGTCAAATATTTTTTTTTCTTTTTCATACCGGATCATCATTATTTTTTTACAGCTCCTTTAGGAGGCGCTAACTGGATTAGCTCAGTACCTCCTTGCATAATACCTCAATTGTTATTGTAAACACACAGAGACCAGCACTCCCCTAATCTCTTTTAAAAATGTCATATAAGGTGATTATTTCCCTTTAGCTTTTCAAAACGTATTTTAGGTTTGTCAAGCATTGAATTTTATGATTTGTAACTTGAAACCTTTTTGCTAATTAATTGAAAGTAGCAGACTTAGAAAATGCAATGTTGTACAGAATAGATATCTCAAACTTCTTGAAGAGAAATTATAATTTGTTATTTAGTCCTTGTCCCTCAATGAAATTGGTCATGTTCATTTTAACCCAGCACTTTTGTGTCAGGATCAGTAACAGTCTAAGTTTTTAACCGGCTGTAATAAGCAGCTACTGTGATGTTTAACCATAAAATGGTCAAAATCTAATAAATACAAATACTGACCACTGCTGATCTTACTATAGGTTGTAGTTACTTTAAACAGTTGTGTTGTTATTGCACAAAAAGTACAATGAAACCTGTCTTGTAAGAACATTGTTTTATAGCTTAATTTATATATATAGAAAAAATCCAAACAATGACAACTCCGAAAGTTTATTTTTCTGCATTTCACCAGAAAAAGCATTAAGTTGGAAGAACTTTCACTGATTTAAATAACCTATCATGTAAAGCTATACATACTGACAAACCATTCAGTAATGGTAAAGATTACAACTATCGCTCTTCTTTACATATTTAGATTATTATTCCAAATATATCAAAAAGTTTCTCATGTTTTCACAACTGAAAATAGTTCTTTAGCTCAAGAAACTGAAGTTTTTCAGTTTTTATTTTTATGGAAGATATGGGCCTATATTGAACAGGCTTCTGTGGATTATTTTTTTTTTTTGCAATGGCAATGCTCTTCATTTCCAAAATTGCCACGCGATTGCCTTAAATAAAGAACAGTTTATTCCCTTTAGAAGATAGCAGCAATAAATCTATTTTTATGGATATTATTCTTTATATTCCTTTGCTTTAAAATTTGTCCAGAGACAGGTAACATCATGAAGAATTTATTTTATTTCTAATTTAAAACTCTGTTCCAAATATTCATAATTATAATAACAATACTTGTACATCATTGATCTCACAATAGAGAAATTCACTTGTGTATCTTAAGGGGTTAAGGGTCTTGCTCAGGCACCCAGAGTGCAGGCTGTACTTGCAAACTTCTCAGAGCACAAGCGCACTGCTCTAACCACTAAGCCAACACTCCCTCCTTACCACTCAGCCTTTTCTTTAACCAAACAGAACAGAAAGCTTTATCATCCTCCTTTAAAGTGCTACAAAAATGTTTTTGATCCAACAAAGATTTTTTAAAATGCTGTTATTTCTTAAAAGTGTTTTTTTTTTTTTTTTTTTTTTTTACATACAGTACAGGTAATAGATGATGAAACTAATGATGGATTTTTTTCCATCAATGTGAGCCTAGAGTAATTCTGACATATCTCGCTAAGTAAATAGGGCCCCCTGTCTTTCCTTCAAAATGTGCTAAATCAGCACAAAAAGGAGCTGATAAGGTTCACTATCACTAATTGATTGGCGGAAAATATGTCCATTCGAGTTTCCAAGAGAAAAGCCTACTCTTACATAATTCCGGTTGGCATTTGTAATTTGTTTTAATGCTCAAGGAAATCATATTAAAGGAACTAGGAGTATTACGCCATATATACTGGTGCTACTGCAGGTATCTCTGCCACCATTTTTATCAGTCAGGACCCAAACTGTGACAGCACTACTTATTAAAGAACAGAGGTTCTTATTCAGTCTAAGAAATAGTCATCCACACAGTTACTGAAATTATTATCTTGTCACCACAATTTTAATCAAACTGGTTATTGATTATTATTTTCTGGAGTACAGCAGTGTCTTTATATGTTAGATATCCACTCCAAAAGAACAGGACAGTCGGATATATATATATATATATATATATATATATATATATATATATATATATATATATATATATATATATATATATATATATATATATATATATATATATATATATATATATATATATATATATATATATATATATATATACATATATATACCATTGTTGTTTATAGTTTTTGAAGATGTTCCTCCTCTCATCCATCAGGGGTTCTCATTCTAGCTGACTGGTGGGAAATTCCAGGCATTCCTCAGCCTGAGAGTCCTCAGGTCATATATGTGTCATATATACATATAGATAATACCTGAATGAGTCCAGTTACATCTGTAACTTTCCACACATCACTTTCATTTTAGACAGTTTCTTCAGTCATGTTCACAGAAATCTGATGTTAGTGTTTCAGTGGAAGCTGATAAAACCACGTCGTTGACATGGATTAGATATGATTCTTTTAAGGAAACAAAATAGTGGCTCATGCTGATTAGGTTTCAAGCCATCTGAAAAAAGGACAGACTAAAATAAACCGTCAATCATAGTGATCACAAGGGGAAAACCCTAAATGCTAATATTTTCCAACGGTAAAATATGACAAACTGACCAAAGCTGGATTCTCGTACGCATTTGGATATAAGGATATCATCTGGTTATAGAAAACTATAGTAAATTATAAAATAATCAATTCAATATTAATATTTATATTGGTCCCAATATTGAAGATTCAATGGTGGTGTGAGGTGGTGGGAGAGGGCTCAATCCAAAGGGGCATAAGTATTTATTTTATTTCTATAAAAGAATAAGTAAGGTTAATCATCTTTTTGACATTTTACCACTTTTAGGCACTTCAAAATAGAGTTGAATTTGTTTTTAACTTTGAAAGAAATGAGGATTGAAGAGGTTCCAGCTTCAAATGCGTCATCCCTTTATTTTTGTGGTGACTTTTCACACCCATTTATGACATACCCCGTACTTTACCTCCGAGTCACTCCAAAACCACAGTTGCAGAAAAAAGATTTAAATAACAGTTTTTTGAAGCAGTGTTGTAAAATTCCATCCTTAATTAATTATATTTCTGTTATTTTAAGGTACAGGCATGCATCTTTTACAAAACATGGAGACTTTTAAGGAATGCTCATATTTTGATGTCTATATTTCTCATCTGAAGGAAGTTAAGACAG